TTGCTTCCAGAATTTATAATTGTTCTTTTTACTCATTTATCCATTCATCACTTCATATACAATAAGTGATAAAACAGGAATGATTTTAATCTTCATTGCAATCTTTTGGGAGAAAGATACACAAGTAAAGAAATACATAATTAATAAATTGTGAGAAATGCTATGAAAGAAATGAATAGCATGCTGTAATGAAAATAATGGGTTCATCTAATAAGCGTAACCCTACATGGGACTGGGAAGTTGGGCAAAGCCTCACTAAGGAAGATTTTCAGGATGGGGATAGAGGAGGTGTCCCAGGCAGAAAAAATTGTAAAGTTTATACCAAGTCTCAAATGTAAAAATTCTGGGTGAGTTCTACTCTTAAGAAAAAGCCAACATGGCCAAAAGTGAGAAAAAAGAATGAGTAGAAAAGGGGGAGGAGGCAAATAGGGCCAAATAATGTAGACCCTTTTTTTTTTTTTAATCCTCACCTGAGGATATTTTTCTATTTATCTTCAGATAGAGTGGGAGGGAGGGAGAGGGAAAGAGAGAAACATCGACATGAGAGTCACATCAACAGGTTGCCTCCTGAACAATCCTGACCAGGGCCGGGGACGAACCACAACCGAGGTAGGTGCTCTTGACCAGAATCAAACCTGAGACTCATTGGTCCACAGGCCAACACTCTAATTACTGAGCAAAACTGGCCAGGGCAATGCAGAACCTTTTAGGCTAGGGTAAGGAGCGTGGATTTTATCCTAAGTGAAATGGGAAGTTATTCATGGTTTTTAATCAGGGGACATGTCTGATGTGTATTATTACAGATCATGCCACTGCTGGGCTCAGAGCAGAAGCAGACCAGCATGGCTCCAGGGATGCAGTGGCTGCCCAGCCCCAAGTAGTGACTGCAGAGATGAGTGAGCAGGACACACTTTGAATAGGAGACATGCTCTGGAGGCACAACAACAGGAGCTGCTGACTGGAGGTAGGGGATGTGGGAGAAGGAAAAATAAAAGACGCTCTCTGGCCCTGGCCAGTTTGGCTCAGCGGTTAGAGCGTTGGCCTGCGGTCCGGAGAGACCCGGGTTCGGTTCCCGCTAAGGGCACGTACTTCGGTTGTAGTTTGTCCCCGGCCCTGGTTGGTCGTGCGGGTGGCAGCCACTCGATGTGTCCCTTTCACATCGATGTTTCTCTCTCTCTCTCTCTCTCTCTCTCTCCCTCCCACTCTATCTGTACAAAAAATGGAGAAATGTCCTCGGGTGAGGATTAAAAAAAAAAAAAAGACACTCTCTGGTTTTGGGCTTCAGCAGTTGAGTGATGCTCATTACTGATAGAAAAGTCTTGAGGAAGGACAAGTTTCAGTGGGGGGGTGAAAATCAAAAACTGTTTAAATATGTTAACTTTAAAATACATGTGCACAGAAAGAATATATGTACCCTCATGTTCATAGCAGCACTATTTACAATAGCTAAGATCTGGAAACAGCGCAAGTGTCCATCAGTAGACGAATGGATAACAAAGCTGTAGTACATAAACACAATGGAGTACTATGCAGCTGTAAGAAAGAAAGATCTCTTATCCTTTGAGATGACATGGACGGACCTGGAAAGTATTATCCTAAGTGAAACAAGCCAAGCAGAGAAAGACAAATACCACATGATCTCATTTATGGAATATAATGCACATAACAGTCTGAGGAATAGGGTAGATCCAGAAACATGGAAGTAGGGTAGAGACTGACAATCCCCAGAAGAAGGGGGGAGGGAGGAGATAAACCACAGAACTTATATGCATGTATGCATGAACAATGGGCATGGACAACAAAGCTGGGGACGGGGCAGGGGGGATGGGGAGGAGGGTGTCAATGGGGTAAAAAAGGAGAAACATCTGTGACAAAAATAAAATTAAAAAAATAAAATAAAAATATACATTTTCTTCTATAGAACTTCTGTTTTCATTTTATATAAAAAAGAATGTGACCAAGAAAAAAATAATAAAATAAAATACATGTGCAATTTCCAAAAAGAGATGTAAAGGAGGAAGTAGGATCTGTAGTCCAAAGCTCAGAGGGAAGGTGTGACCTAACAATGTAAATTTAAGAGTTTATGGGCATCTCCGTGGGATTTAAGGTCACAGAAGGGATGAGATCACCCAGGGAGAATCTGTAAAGAGACTCTGTACTTGGTCAGCCTCATTTGTGTATGGTGTTCATCTGTGAGTATGACTTACAACAAGAGCAATATTTAAAGGGTCTCCTGTATTCAACTTTGACAAGAGCAGTATTTAAAGGGTCTCCTGTATTCAACTTTAAGAATTAATGAAATAGCCCTGGCCAGTTTGGCTCAGCGGTTAGAGTGTCGGCCTGCGGTCCCGAGAGACCCGGGTTCGGTTCCCGCTAAGGGCATGTACCTCGGTTGCAGTTTGTCCCCGGCCCTGGTTGGTCGTGCGGGTGGCAGCCACTCGATGTGTCCCTTTCACATCGATGTTTCTCTCTCTGTTCCTCTCTCTCCCTCCCACTCTACCTGAACAAAAAATAGAAAAATGTCCTCAGGTGAGGATAAAAAAAAAAAGAATTAATGAAATAGCTGTTCACGTGTTGTTACAATAACTTCTTCTTTATAAGGATAACATTTCAGACTTCTTGATCTCTTTCCTTTTCATCTTTATTCTACAAAGTGACTTAGGCTTAACTCTTATCTTTTATGAACCTAGTTTAGCTTATCTTAAGCTAATATTTACATGCCAAAATTCTGGACATGTTGGGATCCTTGATCTTTAAAGCCTCTCTGCTAAGTCTGTATAAGTGAATGCAAATTCTCATTAAACAACTAAAGACTACATTGGTCCTGAAACACCAATCAGAAAGAATATATGTACCCCTATATTCATAGCAGCACTATTTACAATTGCTAAGATCTGGAAACAACCCTAGTGTCCATCAGTAGATGAGTGGATAAAAAAGCTGTGGTACATGTACACGATGGAATACTATACAGCTAAGAAAGATCTCTTGTTATTTGAGATGACATGGAGGGACCTGGAGAGTATTATGCTAAGCGAAATAAGCCAAGCAGAGAAAGACAAATATCACGTGACCTCGCTTACTTGTGGAATATAATGAACTAAACAAACTGATGAACAAAACTGACCCAGAGACATAGAGGTAGGGTACAGACAGACAAACCTCAGAAGATTGTGGTGTTGGGGGGGGATAAACCACATGTATGCATAACCAATGGACCTAGACAACAAAGCTGGGGATGAGGCAGGGATGGGGAGGAGGGTCAATGGGGGAAAAAGGAGAAACATCTGTAACAAAAACAAATTAATAAAAATAATTTTTCAAAAAAAAGACTGCATTGGTATTAAATATGCCATATTTCTGGTGTACCAAGGAAAAAAATTCTTTTAGTGGCTATCTCTGTGTGATGAGATTATGGGAAGCCTTTTAAAATATATATTATATATATTTAATAATATGTTATATTTAATATAGTATATATATATTTCTCTAAAACCTCTCTTTTCTTTTTTTGAATTTATTTTATTGAGAGTATTACAGATGTTCCCTATTTTCCCCCCTTCACCTCCCTCCATCCATCTCTCCCACCCTACCCCAGCCTTCACCGCGCTACTGTCTGTATCCATGGGCTTTCATTTATATACATAAGTTCTTGATTAATTTCTTCCCGCCCTTCCTCCCACCTTCCTTCTGAGATCTGTCAGTATGTTCCATGTATCCACGCCACTGGTCCTATATTTTATTCTCAGTTTATTTTGTTCATTAGAGCCTACATATAAGTGAGATCATGTAATACTTGTCTTTCTCTGACTGACTTACTTCGCTTAGCATAATCATCTCCAGGTCTACCCACACTTTTTTTCACTATATTTTTAATTTACTATAATGAACAGTGAACCTGTATTAATAACTATGTTAATAATAAGAGCTAATGTTTATTTTAAGCACTTGCTTTTTATAGCCACTATAGTTCAAAGGCTGCCAGTATTAATTTAAGGCTTTTGGAACTGGGGGGAAGAGAAAGAGTAGGCAAAGTTAAAATGCCATAAATCCTACTGTTCTTACACAGTAGGCACTGTGCTAACTAAGCACTTTACTTCCAATATCCCATTTAATCTTTAACAACACATGAGGTTAGAACTATTATAATCCTATTTTACAGAAGAGGAAACTGAGGTATAAAGATGTTAAAGTGGCTTGCTCTCATGGCTTGTAAGGGACAATGTTGGTTTATGAACCATAATCTATAATGAGCAGTAATAAAACTCTCGACAGACTGTTTGAGCAAAACTGGTAGGTGCTATTCAGGGTATCCCTGAGCTCTATAATATAGCAGTGTATGGGACATGGGCTTTGTGTGAGTGGTTAAGGAATATGATCAGAAGTCTAGAAATAAAAACTTTCTCAATAAAACACTTTCTCCTCTATTAACAGTTAGATAGCCCTGGCTGGTATGGCTCTGTTGGTTGGAGCGTCGTCCTGTACACCAAAAGGTGGTGGGTTCTATTCCTGGTTAGGGCACATACCTGGGTTTCTGGTTCAATCTCCAGTCAGGGCGCATGCCAGAGGCAACCAATCGATGTTTCTCTCTTTTTCTCCCTCTCTCTCAAAAAGAAAAAGAGATAGATAGATAAATTACTCTTCCTAGGAAGGTAAGCTAACATTCAAGACTAAGTTAAAACTATTTAATTACCCCTGGGATATATTTATTATCTCTATTATCTTTCAATTCCACTTGCTATTTTCTGGCTTTACATAATACAGGTAAAAGTAAGGTAATGAGGCAACAGTAAATTTAGGGGCACACAGCCAATTAAATGTACAAAGAATAGCAATACAGCCGTTACTCTTATTCTTTAAAAATTAGAATATAACACTAATACATCCTGAATTCTAATATTTTATTCAGTATGTTATAGGTTAAAATTCTTCAAAAGAACAAAGAGTTGAAATCCATTCAAAGTTTCACTTATAAAGTTTAAGGAATCTTCCATACTCACCAAAACCATCAATATCTAGATTATTTTCAATCACAACATCTAGCAGAGAGTCACCGACTTTTCCTTTGGTTGTTAGTGTTTCACCGTCACGGTTTAGAAAGTGGACTGTTATTTTATCTTCTGAGCTGGAAAAGGAAGCAGTCCTTTATTATTTTCAGTAATTTCAAAAGATACTTTTAAAAAATCGTTTGAAGAACCTGTAAGGTCAAACAAAAAACAAAACTTTTAAGGTCAAAGAAATAGCAGAGTGTGTGTGTGCGCGCGCGCATACAAATGTACTCTTCCAGTATTTTCTTTACTTTCCAAAGGCATGTCTATCTGCCCACCAACCAGGAGAACTCTACCACCTTAAAAAAAATGGCAACTACATCACTACCAAGGCCATGTATTTCCCTGTGTATCATGTGTCTCCCTAGTGGTCATGGTCATGAGTCAAAGTCCAATGAAAACATTTAGCAATCTTATCACTCATGAAAGTGTACTTTGCTCTCACTCAGCTCTCTAAAACACAATGTCTCTATGAATGCGTCCCTAAAAGACTAGACCACGGCTGTGGGGAGCGTTAGAAAAACAAACCATTCTGCCATCAATAGGCCATTGTGCATGTGTCTGACAGGCTTACAGATAGCAGTCTGATAGTTTCCTGAGTATTTGAACATCTTATTTTGGTCCACATTGTGTGCATAAAAATCAAAGGGACTAGAAAACATCATTTGTTTGTTCGAATCTGTGGGAAGATAAACATAACACCTCCTTATATGTTTTATTATAGGATATTATATTATGTATCAGCTAGCTGATTTAAATTTCTTTCCCTTCTCATAAACATCACAAGAAAATTTGGGAAAAGAAATTGTACAAGTGACTAGATTCTTATCCTCCACCATTGGTCATAATTTTTACCTCACAGTTGAAAATATGAACTTCAGCTTAAAATAATTAGTTGTAATTTTCACTACTGCCAGTAGATGGTAACAGTCCATATCAAAGAATACTTCAATACAAGCAAAGCCTAGACTTAAGTAATTCCAGAGCTAAAAATGACTTTCAAATTATCAAATCCAATTATCTCATTTCACAAATGAGGCAACTGAAGTCCCTATTAGATAATGGCCTCCCTAATATTTTAACACTGAAAAAAGGTAATTCCATTAATTAAAAATTATCAAAAATATGTGAGAAAGTCCCTCAAAAGGTAATTCCATTAATTAAAAATTATCAAAAATATGTGAGAAAGTCCCTCAAAAGGGCCTGTGCACTCCAACATTTTTCATAGAAAAAAAATGCTTAAAAATAAGTATTCTGAATATTGTTCATGATTTTCCAGGTATAATGGCTAAGAATGAAGATACTCGGGAGGCAGGGAGACCAGTCTGTACTCTTTTAATGAGTACAAACTAAGCAAGGATATAGGAGACATTGGCTTAAGAGATATTCAGGAAGTAGAATTAAAAGGTTCTGGTGGCTATCACTGTAAGATGGATCGAGAGAGATGGAAGAAATAATGTTGACGTTTCCAGCTAGGCAAGTAGGAGGTACAGTTTAAGGTAGGGTTAACAGAGGAGAAGGAGCTTTGGGAAGATGAAAATGAGTTTGAATTTAGACCTGTTTAACTTAATAATAGAAAAAAAAAATAGATGAGAATGTCCAGAAGCCAGATAGAAATATGGATCTGAGCCCAGCAGAGCAGTCTAGAGATCTGACATCCACACACGCTTGGTAAAAGTACGACAGAAGGAATGCCATTTTTACTCACTACTGCAAGCCAAAGGTGTAGGGATGCTATTCTTCTGAAGCACTCTAGAGCTAAGTTACAGCAAATGACCCCATAAGCTAAAGAATTACCAACCATTTTGGTGCTTAAAAACTACATGAACTTTAGTCCTAGTTATGCCAGCAAATTAATATGGAATTTTTATTCTCATTTATCTACCTCCCAGGATTCTCTTAAGAGTCAACTGAGCCCTGGTCGGTGTGGCTCAGTTGGTTAGGTGTCATCCCGTGCACTGAAAGGTTGCCAGTTCAATTCTCAGTCAGGGTACATGCTCCAGTTGTTGGCTCAATCCCCAGTAGGCAGGATGTGGGAGGCAGCCGATCAATGTTTCACTTTCATTTCTGTGTTTCTTTCTCTCTCCCTCTCCCTTCTTCTCTCTCTAAAAATAAATAATCTTTTTTTAAGTCAACTGAAATAATATATGGAAATCTCTTTGCAACTTAAATCACTACAAATATATTGTGTCAGAGTGTTTCAGAGTTCATGTTCCTCTCTCATCCATGTTTCTGTCTCTCTCTCTCTCCCTCTCCCTTCCTCTCTCTCTAAAACCAATTTTTAAAAAAACATATTTAGAAAAAAAGTTCAACTGGGAAACCAATTCTTTCATTTTAACTTTATTTCAAAGTCACATCTAGTTCATGGTGATCGTAGTGGACAGCACAAATCTCAGCTAATACTAGTTGTAGCTCCAAAGCCTGTGACAGGAAGCACAAGGCCATCAATAGAAACTGTGTCTGCCAGGGGAAAAGCAGGATAGTGAGGAAACAGAACAAAGGTGCTTCCCCTTAAGACAACTTCATAATACCCAAATACAAACAATAAGTTTGGAGGAGATAATTTCCATCAAGAAGAAACTAGAAAAGGCAGAATACAAATCCAACAGTACTCCCTCCCTCCAGTTCTAGCTTCCTACTACATGCTAACAGGGGTCAGAGCAGTTCTGCAATATTACTGGGCCCCATCATGTTCCTATTATCTAACATGATTAGTACATTTTATCTCTATTATATCTAAGGAGATTTGTTTGAAAAACAAATATGCCCAAGAATATAAAACTTCAACATAGCCCAGCTGGTGTGGCTCAGTGGTTGAGCATCGACCCATGCACCAAGAGGTCGCCAGTTCAATTCTCAGCCAGGGCACATGTCCAGGTTGTGGGCCAAATCCCCAGTTGGGGGCATGCAGGAGATGGCCGATGATCAATGATCTCTCTCATCGATGTTTCTTTCTCTCTCTCTCTCTCTCTCCCCCTCTCACTTCCTCTCTCTCTCAAAGTCAAGAAAGAAAAAAAAATTGTTTTAAACTTCAACATAGTTGGGGAAATTTTTTTCACATCTCTTTTCAACATTTAATACGAAAAACACTGTAGCTGCCCTGCCTGTGGGGTAGCCACTCTCTCTCATTGCTTCACTAATAAACTTACTTTCACTTGAAACTCAAAACAGCAACAATGTGGGGCAAGAAGCTGCTGTTGCTAACAGGCAACATCTCCTGAGCCCTGCTATTCGCCAGGCACAAGACTTCCTGTATTACCTGTATTCTCCCACTTGTTATTCAAATAATTCTGTGAGACCTATAATATTGTTATCCTCCATTTACAAAATGGAAAAGTGAGGTTCATAGAGGTTGAGGAAGTTAGACAGTAAGTGCCAAAGCCCATTTTAAAGCTGCCTTGCCACTCCAACGCAAGGGCTTTTAACGCTGTGTCAACCAGAAGAGAGTATTCAGGGAAGCCTGGGGGACAGAGTGGCTGTGTGCTAAACGGCATCCCCCTGACAACTGGAGACAGAACGTCCCAACGTTGCAGAAGGGCCCGGTAAAGTATTGCTAGCCGGGATCTCAATGGGGTGCATCTACTACGAAGGCCGCTGCTGGTTCCGGGCAGAGCAAAGGTTAGAACCCAGCCAAACCACAAAGACAACCAGCGGCAGCAAAGCGCCCGACTTCCCTGAAGGTACACGAGGCCCTTGGAGAGGGAAATCGGGGGTCCCCATTCCCCGCCAGACGTCGGGGCTTTGGAAAGGAAACTGTGTCGCAAGGTCAGACAGTGACTGCGCCCAGCGACCACACAGGGCCCGGAGGAGGGGCAAGGAGCAAGCGGTTCTGGGCGTACGCCCGACACGCAGGCGCTGGGGAAGGGGCTGCGGAAATCAGGCCCGAGACCGCCCCTGGGTAAAGGACTCCAACCCGCCCCTGCGCCGGCGGCGCCTCACCTGCAACGCGCCCGTGCGGACACGCTCAGCGGCCGCATCGCCACCGCGCCGCCGCCCAGGCCCGGCTGGGCGCCACCGCCCGGCCCCCGGCTTCCCGGGAGGCCTCCGGCTCCCGCGCGGGCTCCGGCGAGAAGCAGCCACCGACGGGCCGCGCCACCGAGGGCCACGGAAGAGGCGCGCAGACGCCAGGCGCCTCCCGCAGCGGCCATGGCCGGCGGTCCGGTAACTACCGGTCCGGTAACTACCGGCTGCGACAGAGGCTCCCCGAGAGCGGGCGGACAGCGGCGCTGGCGCCGGACGCGCTGGGCCGCGGCGAGGGTGCGGGCTGGCTGCGGTGCGCGGGAGGTCCAGCTCGCGCGCGGCCTCCACGGCCTGCCGGTGACCTATAAATGCTCCGGCGGGACACAGCCCCTGCCCCGCCCGTTCCCACGCCTCCGGGACGCTTTTGTAGGGGGCGGGGCTAAGCACTCAAGGTTTTCTTTTGTTTTTTTTAACCTATTGACCAGGTTTTGTCATAACTTTGCTGCTTTGTTAAGCCTCTAGAATTGCTACGCAAAAACAATACATTTTCAAAAATCGCTGAGCGTATGATGGAAAGAGACAGTAAAACAACACCCAGTTAACTAACCCACTTCTCTTCAGCTCTTGCCTCCTCCTCTCGCTCCTCAGCCACCATTAATAAAAACAACGTGGGCCCTGGCCGGCTTGGCTCAGAGGTAGAGCGTCGGCCTGCGGTCCAGACAGGCCCGGGTCGGTTCCCGCTAAGGGCATGTACCTCGGTTGCAGTTTGTCCCAGGTCCTCGTTGGGTCGTGTGGGTGGCAACCACTAGATGTGTGTGTGTGTCTCTCTCTCTCCCTCTCTCCCTCCCTCCCTCTCCCTCTATCGAAAAAAATGTCTTTTGGTGAGGATAAAAAAAACAACAACAAAAAAAACGTGGGCCTGAGCTGGTGTGGCTCAGTGGATTCAGCTAGTCCCATGTTACCCGCTCCATCCCCAATGTGGGGCATGCAGGAGGCTGCCCATGGATGATTCTCTCACGCTCACATCTATGTTTCTATCTGTCTCTCCCTTTCTCTCTCTCTCTTAAAAAATAAATAAAAACATAGTTTTTAAAAACCAACGTGGTAGATTCTGTCATCGTGGAGATCAACATGGGTAAAAGGGAATTCTGGACATTGCCAAACTAAGACAATAGGAAACTTCAGAAATTTCAGAAAGTCAATAGGCGTGGTACCCGGAAGAATAATTATGTCTATAAAGGTATAAATGATCACAATAAAATAAATTTGGGGAGGCTGGAGAAGGCAGATAATAATCCTAGGCCTGCCCTGGCCGGTTTGGCTCAGCGGTTAGAGCGTTGGCCTGCGGTCCAGAGGGACCAGGGTTCGGTTCCCGCTAAGGGCACGTACTTCGGTTGCAGTTTGTCCCCGGCCCTGGTTGGTTGTGCGGGTGGCAGCCACTCGATGTGTCCCTTCACGTCGATGTTTCTCTCTCTCTCTCCCTTCCTCTCTCTCCCTCCCACTCTATCTGTACAAAAAACGGAAAAGTATCCTCGGGTGAGGATAAAAATAAAAAAATAAAAAAAATAAAAAAAATAATCCTAGGCCTGAATGAAATCCATGAGATTTAAACTTTGATTAACAGATTTTTTTTTAAAGACTTTTACAAAAACCAGAAAGGTGAATTTTAAAATATACTTCATTATGGTTGATATGTTGTGGTGGAAAGAGCATGGGCTTTGAGGTAAAAAATTAGCAATGTTCAAATCCAAGGTCTACCACTTTTTAGCTCAGTTGAGCTCTGAGACCTTGGATAAATTATTCTGTTAAAGGATCAGAGTTTCCGTAACACTTTCACTGATAAGATGTTCCATCCTTCAGGGCCATTCTGAGGGTTAGACAAACTAACATGCACAACGCACAACTGGCCTAGTGCATCACAAACAATGATTGATAACTTCCTGGGCCTTCCTTCTAAGGTTAGTCTTTTCTCTTTTTTTTTTTTTTTAATGAGAGAAAATTTATTAAAGCTTGAGACAGTGAGGCAAAGGAAGGGCCCCTGGAGATAGGATCAGAGGATGAGCCCAGGGCCAGCTGCCTCTGGCCATTGTTCCCCTGGGTGCCAATCTAGTGTCTCCTCAGGACCCTTAAAGCTTAGGATAGAATAAGCAAAGTATGTGCCTCATGAAAGGAGCCAGGGCATGATCAAAGAAGAGTCTGCCCCTAAGACTAGTCCTAAGGCTAATAAAAGCCAAAGTCAAGTGCATTGTAAATATGCTAAACATGAAAGTGTTTTGTGAACTGTAAACTGTCATAAAAATTTAGATTCAATGTTTATGAACACCTACTCTGAGGTTTGTATCATTTAAGAGCACCTACTCGGTGCTCCATCACATATACTTTGTGTAGTTCCTCTGCACTGAAGTTCCCAAGAGTGGGGATCCTATTTATTCATCTTCATATTCCTATCTCCTGGCATAGTGCCTATCACAAAGCAGCCATTTAATAATATCTTTGTTAAGAACTGTCTTAGGAATTTTCACAATTTCTATCTCATTTTATTATAACAACTCTGTAAAATAGATATTCCTATAAGCAATAAATGCCTTTAATCAATAAATATTTAACATCAACAGTGTAAAATCACTATGCTGCAGACACAGCAGTGAACAAAATCCTTGACCTCTTATTTTTAGATGAGGAAACTGAGGTACACAGTAGTTGTGACTTTCTTAAAATCATACTGCTGGTAAGTTGCAGATCTAAAATTTAAAGCTAGGTAGCTCTGGTCCCAAGTCTAAGTCATAAGCACAAGAAATGATTATTTTATTATATTTACAATACAGACAATCCCTGACTTACAATGGTTCAACTTCCAATTTTTTCTTAGCAATGGTGGGAAAGTGATATGCATTCAATAGAAATCAATTAGACTAAGCTGTGATGTTTGGTAGGTTAAGTGCATTCCCAATTTATGATATTTTCAATCTATAATGATTTTATCAGTATGTAACCCAATCATAAGCTGAGGAGCATCTGTATTTTATCATATATTTACACATAGTATTCATTAAATTTTATTATATATGATATTAATGTATATTTATATATCATATATTTTTCAACTCTACATTCAATAGTAAATGGTTAAGATTTGCATGATCCACATACAGGCATACCTCAGAAACATTGCGGATTTGGTTACTTAAAGCAAGTGTCAATAAAATGTGTTACAATCTTTGTTGGTAGAAGGTTTTGCCTTCAGTTTGTAAAAAACAACACTTGCGAAGTGCAATAAGATAAAGCATGACAAAATGCGCCTATAATTTAGGGATAAAGTCCGAAATTATCATTATCTTAATGTTTAAAAAGGAGTATGAAATTAGACCTAATTATATTTTACCCCAAAATTACTCACTCTATCCCCAGGCGATTTGTTAATGTGGCTGATTATATTGTGAGTGTCCTAAATTTAAATTAAAGATATAACTAATATTTACATAAATTACTATCATTGATTTTCCTGCTTGCAGTCTTATCTTGTTCTAAGTTGTTGTCCATACTGCCAGTAGGCTGATCTGTTAAAATACTGATTTATTTGATCATGTTACTTTCTTGATGAAAATTCTTGAATGACAGTCCATTACCCTGACATGATACTCCACTACCACTGGAATGACAATGAAATTACATTCCATCATCATTTATTTCCTTTTTAAATTTTTTTTTTTGCCTCCTTCTCTAGTCTTTTATTATTATTATTATTATTTTATTATTATTATTAATATTTTTTGTTGAATGTAAAATGTATTACAGATGTTCCACATTTTTCCCCCATTGACCCCCTCCTCCCCATTCCCGCCCCCCTCCCGCCTTTTCCCATACTATTGTCTGTGTCCATTGGTTATGCATATAAGTTCTTTGGTTTATTTCTTCCCACCCCCCCAACCCCTTTCCCTTTGAGGTTTGTCGGTCTAGCAATGAATTTATGCTTCTTAATCCCTTCACCTTTTTCACCCATTCTCCCAACCCCCCTCCCATCTGGCAACCAACAAAATGTTCTCTGTATCTATGAGAATGTTTCTGTTTTACCTGTTTATTTTGTTTGTAGATTCCATTGTCGATAGATATGTATTCATCTCCATTTTGTTTGCTCATATATTTTATCTTTTTCTTCAAAAAGACCCTTCATCATTTCATATAATAACGGTTTGGTGGTGATGAACTCCTTTAACTTTTTCTTGTCTGGGAAAGTCTTTATATGGCCATCGATTCTAAATGACAGCTTTGCAGGATAGAGTAATCTTGGTTGTAGGTTCTTGGTTTTCATCACTGTGAATATTTCTTGCCACTCCCTTCTGGCCTGCAAAGTTTCTTTTGAGAAATCAGCTGATAGTCTTATGGGAACTCCCTTGTAGGTAACTAGCTGCCTTTCTCTTGCTGCTTTTAAGATTCTCTCTTTGTCTTGAACCTTTTCATTTTGATGATGATGTGTCTTGGTGTGGGACCCTTGGGGTTCATCTTGTTTGGGACTCTCTGTGCTTCCTGGACTTGTATGTCTGTTTCCTTCACCAAGTTAGGAAAGTTTTCTGCCATTATTATTTCAAACAGGTTTTCGATTTCTTGTTCTCGCTCTTCTCCTTCTGGCACACCCAAGATGCGAATGTTGGCACGCTTGAAGTTGTCCCAGAGGCTCCTTACACTATCCTCATTTATTTGGATTCTTTTTTCTTTTTGCTGTTCTGATTGGGCATTTTTTGCTTCCTTATATTCCAAATCGATGGTTTGCTCCTTGGATTTACGTTCTCTATTATTGCAGCTGTGTAAATTATTCTTTATTTCAGTTAATGCCTCCTTCATTTCTGACTGGCCCTTTTTTATGCTCTTAAGGCCCTCACTAAGTTTACTGAGGTTCTCACTAAGTTCATTGAGCATCCTTATAAGCAGTATTTTGAACTCAGCATCTGTTAGGTTGCTTATCTCCATTTCGCTTAGTTCTTTTCCTAGGGTTTTGTTCTGTTCTTTCATTTGGGACCTGTTTCTTTGTCTCCTCATTTTGGCTGCCTCCCTGTGTTTGTTTCAGTGTATTACTTAGCAAGAGGTATGGGGCTAGCTGAGACCAGATGCTGCTCATTTGAAAGAATATAGGAAAAACCTGAAGCAGGATCCAAGCCAGGCCAATCCTATGGTTAAGCAAGTGGCAACAGCTTGGGTGGGGCTGAAA